GATTTGGCTAAGGGAAAGCAATGTTTCTACAATGATTTTAAGTCTGTAGAGTCCTAATGAACATTTATTAGAAATGCAGATCTTTGCATGAGTGAATTTAAGTATACTGACAGTGTATTTGGTTTTTGTGTCTGTATTTTACAGATAATTTTGAAGTCCATTGATCCTAAGAATCTGAAGACTGCAACTAAAAAATTGTTTAGTGTAAAGGGCTCGTGTACCATTGATCCTAAGAATCTGAAGACTGCAACTGAAAAACTGTTTAGTGTAAAGGGCTCATGTTAAGAGAAACCCCAATTACAGAAAAACACTTAAACTCCATTTCTCTCCTTATCAAGAATCACAATTTAGGGACAGTAAGCAAAAATTACACTGAGCAACACCAAAAGGGTAGCAAAGACACTGAAAATGCACGTAATGAGGTACCATTCCTCAGTAATTGATGTGTTTCCAGATGGCAGTCTAAGTCACAGCATCCTCCAGATTCTTTAAGTAATCAACCCAAATCCCTAGCATTACAGCAATATTCCCTTCTGCAGATTTTGGTTAAAGAAAAAAAAAACTAAATATTTGCAGGTCCACAAGGAGACACTTCTGGCAAGGGCTTCCTAACTTTAGCTTTTCCAGTTACCTGCTTTCCTGGAAAGCTTGCCCTCTTTCAGATCTCCTTCCTAGAGCGTCACAAAGCCAGCTAATTCAGTTTAATACTGATTAGGAGACAGTTATTGATTAAAACCTAATCCTAGTTGCTTTCTACATCTTTAGAAGTCTTAAAGGGGTCCTGGGGCTCTAGCTAAAGAGGAAACACTATCCTAACATTGACACAGACACATCGCCCCCAAAAAAAGTACTGTCATAAATAGTAACCTTTTCAAATCATCTCACACAGCAATTAGCCGAGCATTAAAAGACTGCTGTGGAAAACGTTCATTCCAAGCTGAATCACAAAAATGCAACGCAGTCTTCCAGGGAGATGGATTTGTCTTTGCAAATTTGAATTTTAAAAAAGACACAAAAAAACCCCAGGAAGATATAAAGCTGGGTTTCGTTTCCTTTTTCGTGTTAGAAAATGTCGTTATCACATAACCACAAAGACCTTTCACTCGAAGAAGCAAAAACTAAATCCTTTCTGCTGAGAACGCTGCCCTCGCTGTCATTGGTGACACCCATTCTTATTTAGAAGTACAGGTTCAATGAATTAACAAGTCAAAGTAAATCCCTTAATAAAGATATGACCCTGCCTATATTTCCAAAATGTGTTTCTCATCATCTTTAAAAGGATGTTTATCATTAAGCTCAATTTAAACACAGTGAAGTGATTTAAAGAAGTGAAACCTCAAGTTGCCACCACAAAGCACCATCAAAGACTGATCCAGGCATTGTGCTCTGCTTCTAGCATGCCAACATACACCAACCAGTTTTCACACCAGCTATTACTGGTTGCAGCTGCTAAATAACTCTTTTACACGACTGGATTAGTCATTCCAATAATCACACACACTAGTAACTCTTAAGAATTGATTATTCTTTTTAAATATGTAAGTTTACATACATATGGATGTGTGTGTACACCCACACACAACTTAAAAAGTGAGCACAGCATCCACAATGCATCACTTATGACTCTTACCTTCAGGTTTACCTAAGAACAAAAAGAATATATCAGGGTCAAGTGAAAATTAATATAAAACTCAAAAAAAAAGTCAAAATTTAGACCCCTCACAATTAGTCAAAATTAAAGCCAATTACAGTCATGTTCCCAGTGTCAAATCACAAGTCTTCTTACGAAAGCACATTTTTATATAAACTAAAACAACTCAGGAAAAATTGCTATAAAAAAATAAATGTCCTCCATCATTTTTATCGTATCACAGCTATCTTGGAAGATCAGGAGAGCACTTTGTACATTTAAACCTGCACCGAGATCTGCTGTTTTATTAAATGTAATAACAGTCTGTGTAAAGCTTAACTTTAGGCAAAGCACTGAACACAGAAAAATTGCTGCTCTTCTGGATTCCCTAAACCACTCTGGAATTGCGAGGACGACTACAGCGTGTTTTTCTCCATTGGAAAGAGAAAAATATTGATATTGTGAACTCCTGTCAAAACATGCCTTGCTCTTACACTGACCAGATGAGTACATATGGAACGAATGCCTGAAATAACTCTCTGAACGCTGTTAGGAATGATAAGCACTACCACAAATGTATTTCAAAATCAAAGACGTGAAAAATGAAGGGTACACACTCCGTTACGAGAACGTAAGTGCAACCAAAATTTAACGTCTTTTTATTTACTTTAATTTTAAAGTAGTGTGTATTAAATACAAGTGCACCATTGAAGTGCTTCCCTGTATTATCCATACTTTTTCTTATTTTTAGGTTTAGATTGTTAGCAGGGAACAAGACAAAAATCAGAGCTGCAACAAAATGCTATTTGTTATGCAAAGTGTTGCTTCCATGTATTTTGTTTTCCATACACTCACCGTAGAAGTGTCCAAAGCCCATGCTGACTGCAATCACCAAAGCCAGTATGATGCATCTGTTAAGGCCACTGCTGAACTGGCGTTTGTGCTGCTCTTCTCTGGGAGGTTCAGGCTCCGTTTCAGCAGGTGGCCCACCCTCTGCCTCGGAGCCAGAGATCAGCCTCTTCTTAGCCCGACGTTTTCGTACTGTGGGACTGGACTGATTGCTGGTTTCATCACTGCTTGATTCATCATTGCTAGCCTGAGATGGAAAAACTGAAAACCAGCACAGAACAGTTCTTAAAAATCAATTTGAGTACCAAAATCCATCATATTTATGCAAAAGGTATTTGGCGTTTATAGTGGAGAACATTAAAACAAAAATTCTCAATGGGATAGTTTATGCTGGATATTACACAAAGAATGCTTGATCTCCAAAGGTAAAAATCTGGGTTTTTAAAAGGAAAACAGAGAATCAAGAAGCCATCAGCACAAAACTGTACGGCACTTCCCCACGCTTTATCGTTCACTCGTTAGAAAGTATTTCTTTCAGACAATTCTGCCTCTTAAAAAGCACCTACAGGTACTGCCCTCTGCAAACTCTTGTGAAGTAGAAAGGTTAAGAATTCTGGTTTTCTTCTCTTACAGACACTGAGACTGAACTATTTAATAACAAAACAGAAAGGCTTGCTAAAAGAAAGCTTCCTAAAAGGCAGATACAGTTTTATTATGTTCTCAGAAAACTTCATTCTGTGATCTACACGCATCTGCAGACAAAATTCAATTACACTTCCACTACTGTGGGTATTCTAAATATCCAAACAAAGCTTTGCACTGCAAATTTGTTTAAATGTGTGTTTTTGTTTACTTTTAGTATCTACCACGTAGCATACCTATTGCCATTTCCACCCACTACTGCACAGGAAAAGAACCACTCGGGTGCTTCTGTGTTTGGCCCTCCCTAACACTCCGAATCCAAAATGCTTCTGTTACCCGATTGATTCCTGTTTTGAAAGATGGATTCGATAAGAACAAATTCTAACCATGAAATAATACCTTTTATGACATTTTTTGTAAAATGGTATTTATGACACCATTTGTGTGTTCATGTTCCTATGGCTCAAAAGCCACGTGTTCTAACTGGGAACACGACGACAGAGCTGTAATTGCTTTTTGCAATGTACCTACTTCACACGCCTGAAATAGATTCAATGTGATCAATGAAGCCTCCAGCGCATGACAAAGTGCTCCTGCTCAGATAGTTCTGAATTTGATGCCTGCAATTACACAATGCTAACGCCCCTTCTAGAAATATGGCTGTTCATTCTCGTTATCAGAGATCATCGCTCAGATGTAAAAATATAAATACAGAGTTGCTCTCCTTGACATTTCACAACTGAAATCATTTGTTTGAGCAAAGCCATGCACGTACCACCGAACAGACAAGAACGACAAGCAGTGCTAGCCATTATCTATAAAAAGCACTACCAGTTCAGATTCTTCACTGAAAATAAATGCCACCTTCGTGGAAGTGATTGCAACAGCCCCAGAAAAGATTACTGATCGGTATCTGGAATACATATCTGATTTCTGACTCCACAGACAAGCAACAGGTCAGATAATGAAAAATAACTTCCCCTCTTAATAAAAAATTAAAAACTCATTTTAGTCAATTAGTCAAACCAGGCTGAGCAAGCAGACATTGCAATAAAGACAAATCACTTAAACAGCTTCTTGACATGCAGAGCCTTAAATGAATTTATATAGCTTGGCAGAAAAGGACGCTATTTCAGAATCGGTCATTTAGGCAGATGCGTATTTCTCCAATCCTGAACAGTAAGGCAAGCATTCATAAACTAGTCAGGAGAGAAGTATTTTTACTAGAATGTTGAGGTCAGACATTATTAACTGTGTCCTGTACAATCCTTTATTAAAAGGGTACTATAATTGCTTATTTGGGGTTTGTTGGGTTTGGTTTTCCCCCCCCCACCAACCAAAGCAGCTTACATGTATAGTATACAAAAGCAGTTAAGGAATAAGCCACTTCGAGCCAAATAGGAAATTCTTCGATACGCGCTGGACAGAAAAATATAGAAAGGGGGAAAAAAAGACAATCAAAAAGCAAAAAGAAACAGCCATAAGACACTTAGAGCCATTCAAGGGCACTTACTAGCAAGGTGACACCAGCATTACACTTTCAGGCAGGAATGACATTGCCTTACAGCTGCTCTAAAAATTCAGTGCAAACTGAATGTACACTAACGTTCAGAGGATGAAAAGCAGCATAAATGAAACAAAGCGTGACCACGGCAGCAGTCCAAAATTCTGGCTTCTGCTGTGATGTTGAAGTGTCAGATCTACGCTAAAAAACAGATGAACAGTGCCAGTTAAAAAGTGGTTTTCTTCGGCATTTCTGCACAGACACCTAAATGGAGCCTAAATGCAGCTTATTTGGGTGTATGAGCACTTTTGCTAGTTAACTTCATTCATGAAGCAGTATGAAAACAGTTGTTTGCATGGTGAAGACGGCCTAAATAGGAATTGGTTGGCAAGTAAAAGTGGTAGAAAATCCTTGCAGAACAGTTTCAGTATCTACCTTAGGAAAAGCTGAAGCTCATCCTTTTCCAACACAATAGAAAACTCACCAAGAAGCAGATAGCAAAGATTTCCATTGCCAAAGTGGCATGAAAATTTTGACTGCTGCAACTTTGGCATTTAAAATAAATGCAAAAGTACTCCAAACGTTTTCTATAATACTCGGTCACTCAAAGGCACAGCACTGAAGACTATGCTGAAATCAGTGTAAGTTAGATGGAAGAAGTTCTTCTTGCCAGTCACACACAGATTTGGAATCCAACAAGCAGCACTCGTTTAAATGGCCAAGCACACACATTAAAATGTATCACAAAGCTTACTGCTGCCCATCCCAAATTTACCTGTAAGTTTAACACTTTCAAAAAAAGCAACTAAAACACTGACAAGTTAGCCAAATTCAGTGAGGCCTGGCTTTCAGCATCTGTTTGGAATATTATTAACATAACATCAAGACAGACTGCTACCGATAATTCTAGGAACACTCCATGCAAGCCATAAGCAATCAGCTTTATACAAGCTGATCAAATTTAATCACACCACCTTGGAAAGGAAGACCGTGAGACACATGCTCTTTCACCTCATTTCCCCATCCCCTTACACAATCGGGAATCTTCCTCAGCTTCTCCAGCCAACTGACTTTTGTGTACAAAAACATAGGGAAAAAAACACAAAACAAACAACAAAACAACCATTTTTAGTATTCAGCCCTAAAAGAGAAAAGAAAGTCAACTAAATTTTAAATTACAAATTAAGTCAAGCCATCCAGAAGACTTAAAGAAGGCAACAGCTTTGTTACAAATCATCACTGGCGATAATTAGATGCTAAGCTGTCATTTTCTGATTCAATGGATGCTACACAGATACATGAACCTTTAACGAGGCTTTATTCTACTTCTAAGATAAAACAGTATTTTAAGAAAAATCCTGCTCTTGTAATAACTTCCTTTGAAAGGTACAGATCAGTAACACAAAAGTGTTACAGAGAATAAAGAGAGCAGAAAAGACTAAATAAGCAGCAACCCGGAATCAAAAGGAAGACTAGAGAACAAGAGAAGAGTAACCCAACAGTAAGGCTTTTTGTTTATTTTTAAATGGCCAAATGTTCATATTCTCCTGAATATCGTGTGTTGCATTTCTGCCAAGTACTGGGAATATCTTTAAAAAAATAATAAATAGATATATTTTTTTCTACGTAGCTATAAAGGTAAGCAAAAACTGTTTGTAGTCATACTGCTATTAGTCCTCACGGCCCCAATAATCCATTTTCTCCCAGTTGCCAGTTATTTATGCCAACTCTATACAAGCAAGAAAAAACTGCCAAGAGAAAACTTACCCTTATACCGTGAACTAAAAGTCATTTTAATTTTCCCTCTCCACACAAAGAAGGTTCCCTAAGCAAAAGTATTTTTCCCCCTGGTGCAATGTTTGCACACGGTTGCTTAGTAATTTATTGCTCTTACCAGTTTCTAGGTGGGAAAATGCATATTGACTGCTAGAGGAGGAGCCCATGTTAAAATCCTCTGAACTCTGAGCTTCTTCGCCGTCAGCTGGAGCTTCCTCCTGACTGTGAGTTTCTTCTGGTTTTGGAGCTTCAAGCGTAACAATGTCAGAATCATCACTAATAGCTCCAATGCAGGTCCCATCATCAGGGAGTTTTTCTTTCTTTC